CCTTTTGTTACTATTTATTATGATGTCAGGTAAAATATAGTTAATATTAAATTAATGTCAATGTTTTTTACTGGTAATTTTCATTATTTATTCATAACCATAAGAAACAATTTATAGCTATTTAGTGATCTGTTCTATTTTAGTTTATTTGATGCACACAGTGCTAATTGATTGATAACTTGTCCATTGACACACTCACAAAAGTATCCAGACAGTAATATAGACAGGATATTCTAAACAGGCACACGGTAATTATGGACAATTTTTTGCTACAGAAAATTGTTCCAATAGATTTTTCTTCTCAAGGTGTCTATAGTATTGTCATTTACAAATCAGACAATATATGATTATCGTTATGTTGTTGTTTCACTGCTACTTTCAATATGTTTTCACACTCGAAGTTAAAATAATTAATCTAATTGTGCTCGGTATCTTTGACAAAGACCTTGCTTTTGTCTTGTTGATATTTCTGCCACGTGTTATTATTCTGAAAAATTGCCTCGGCCTGCAAAATCTCCTGTTTTTTTGTCTGGCGTATGTTGCGAGAATCATTTGTCTCTTATCTTGACTACTCTATATTATTTTAGTCTATGGCTGTTTTGCACTCTTATTTTAGTGTACGATATTAAAAAAGCCAATTAACTGAATTCTTACTGATTTACTTTGTTATTTATTAACATAAAGATTAGTCATTAAACATTTCCGCTCCCGTAGCACCTTTTCAACGGCGTTAGACATAGACATATGAAAACTTTAGTTATAATAGGGTATTGTATTTTTATGAAAAAAATAGCTTCATTCAAATGTCAACAAATATTTATTCGAAACTAAAGATCTCATGTTACTCAACTGTTTAACTTTTTACTTTGCATTATCTTTCAGATTTACATCAAACGTAAGCACAATTAGTCAATCATTATAGTTTTAATGCCATACAGTATTTTTTGCATATGCGAAAACAGAAAGATTTGATTTAAACGAAAATACATTTTTATAAAGTTTATTTGAACAGACTTGTGGGAACGAATTTGATAAAACATTATTTATACTTAACGCCGATGTGTGTCTTAACATATCGTATAATATGATAATATGCGGGTATATGTATTTGTGATGTAAGTCACACTATAAAATTGGATATTATTGTCAATGCTTTAAATAGACAGATACTGCAATTATTGTCACTGAAGACATGCTGACACCAAGCGCAATCAATAAATCGCCTACTTACTGAAGAAGAGACAAAAGTGTTCCAATTACCATAGATATCATGATTTCATTTTAACGTAAATTGGTCAGTTATGGTCTTAAAAGTATATAGTATTATACATGGCAGCAAACCATGAGATACTATATGTGGATATTGTTGGTTAGGGTGGGGTACCTGAACCGATAAAACATCTCTTCATGAATATAATAGAGGTAATGAATTGTTCTAAGACAATGTTATTATTCATCATATAAATGTTGTTTATATTATTCAAATAATACATGTCTTTTGTATGCTGTTTTGACACTTACCGTCATTTTATCAGATAGCGTAATTCGGATCATTTCTTTCAGACGTACTCGGGTAAGGTAGGTTCTTTCTTTGGAAGAAGATCACCTGGTTTGTGTTACACATTACCGTAATGTATTGATACGATATACATATTTGCCATTCCCTATAAATACAATTTAAGTGAAGGATGTATTGGTGAGTGATAAGGTTAATTTGTTTTAAACAAATAAAGTTACACTGACAGTGTTTGCCAAAATACAATGCACTGCAACTGTAATATTGCTAATCACTGGCACCAAAGATTTACAAAATAATAATCTACAGTAAATCAGGCAACAATATCAGCCTAATAGAAATTGGATTTCTGCTTTTTTCATTGCGTCAGACATATTAAATTGATCGGAAAATGTTGTTCTCAAAGCGATTGACCGTTGCTAGTGTATCATTAAATCCTGTTATCTTTTCCCTGAATGACGAAACAGATTAAAGCTTAAAGATATCTAGCATTGTCAAGACTTGGAGACGGTTCCTTTATTTGTGTAAGTGGATCACGGACTTCGTTATAAAACATTTTATGATAATCACTAGGATTATATACTGTGATACGCTTCATTCCGGAAGGTGTTAGAAGATGGTATTAGGATCTGAGACATTTAATTAGTAAGTGTCATGTAATGTAGACAACTAGAGAAGGAAGTCTGATTTACATCATGAGGGTTAAAACACACTCCCTTGTCGTCTAAATGGATGATTGTCGTTACATGATATCTAATTTCAATTGATCAACTAAAGGCCTTAACAGACGATAGGATTTAAAACTGCAACGCCAATTAAAACTAATGGAGACATTAAAGATGAGTTAAGTGTTAAACAGATTGAGAAGAGCCATAATTATATCAAACATGAGTGCAATATTAAATTAGTTAATGAAATTATTTATTATACAGGCTATATATATGTTGACAATTTCTCCAAAAAGGTTAGAGGTCGTAGAAAAATAAATATAAGAGACATAACGAGAAATAGAATAAATTCAAAGATTACTTGTTTTGACAATTTACCTAGTAAAGAAAATAACCATTCAGGTTTTTTTTCATCTTCCAGCTATGCGCTTAACGAACTTATAATTTGATCACTTTAACAAAAACGTAATGCAATAATTGTACAGGAAATCCATATTTTTACTCTTTGATAACCGATTATGTATCGTTTCGCTAGCACCTCGCCATTTTGATTAGTTATTTCACAATTTTCTCAACTCTTTCATACCACTTTCCCTCATTTTAGAAAACTATATTCAGATAAAATCTCAACATGATTAGATTTTGATTATGTGGAGTAACAACAGTTATTACATTGATATACGTGAACAAACTATAGTGTACTTTCACTTTAGCTGGGCTATATTTAGTATTCTAACTTCTTGGATTTAATAAATTTCTGAACATTTTAAATATACATCTATCGTTCTTATCAAAATCTACATTATATGTGACAAGGTTTTTAAGGATAGCACCTATATTTCAAAGACTATCTCCAGTTTGATCTAAGAAAGCATTTGATAATTCTTGTTAATTGTAATTTGGTCTTCTTTATTACAAATTGTATCATTGTTCCTTGCCATCACCCTCGTCATATATGACAGGAATCAAAAGACAATCCTTTTCATATTTTTGTTGCTCTTTGAACTTAGAATTTATACTTTTTATAATTTCACCCTTTTCATCTTTGTTCCTGAAGAGATATACTTTAGATTTATGATGGTTTGTTTTATAGAAGTTGATAATTTCTGTTTCACTTTCATTGACCTTGTCACAGGCATGTTATGTTGGATGTTTGAGTGCTGTCTTGGTATTGATGAAAAAATATATTAACATTATAACTGATATTTTTTCCATAGTTTTCTCTTATAATCGGCTAATATTTAATTAGATTAGCATGCTGTTTCTTCTGGAAGTTCTGGTTACATAAATAGTTTTTGGCTTCAAATGAAATGCTGCAGCTTTTGGACAGTGTTAAACTATACAAATTATATCCATACTTATGCATGGTAGACAATTGACACTGGTGGCTTGTACATTTACCGTTATTACCACGTTCCTGTTTAGTGCCAACGTTGGCCCCTTTTTAGTGGTTCGTATTGTTTTCAGCTACGTTTCATGAAGGTCGCGTTGTTGTTGTTTTTTTTTCTAATTTATATCTTACATATATTATTTGGGACTTAATGTAACGTGGTGCATTTTGTATCTCAATTTGCAAGTGTTACATGCAAATATATATGTCGGATTACTAGAATTTTGATTGTTTATAAGGAATATATTACATGAATGTGCTTTTCTCATAGTATTTATATCGCTAAGGTGATTATCTCAAATTATATACATTTGAGCAAATTATATATATTTGAGCCCACATTTTCTGTAAATGCTTATACGCGAAGGAATAATTTTACCTTATGAATATGTACTAGTTTAAAAACCTATGTAATAAAATATGTACTAGTTTAAAAACCTATGTTATAAAATAAAAGTAAATATCAACAAGAGAGAGAGTTATAAATAGCAACAACACAGGTTCATCGATAAAACATCCAATAGGGAAATGAAAATTGTTACAAATTATTTCATAAATTGTTATTTTTTACCTTTTCTGACATATATGGTTGTACTCGGGTGGTTCGAAATAATGCACAATATAACCTGTAATGATAATATTGCTTTACAAATGATGGATGGTTATGGCAGCTCTGTAATTTATACGAAACTATGTCTAACCTTTACCTGACCTCCAGCCGCCGAATGTTTGTCCCCGTGGGCGTTTTCCCTACAACGTTTTGAATATTCACTAATGTCAGAATACTCGTGAAGAGTTTTATAATAGATTGGACAGATTCGTCTGATTAATTGATTGAATTTTTTAAACACACTATCCAAACATTTGATAAAGTCAGTACAGTCTGAAATAAGTTTGTTTTGTGTCGACAGGTCACTCTCGCCTGTCTACTGTGATATAACCACGTTTAGACAAATATCCACAAGGAGGGCAGACATCTAATGAACCAAGGAAATGCACGTTCCGTCGTTTATTTCCTCAAGACTTTTTTCATACAGTAAAACATTTTATACTTTTTCAGTGATATCTGACATAGTTTATATATATATTATAACTGTTTTATAATCTCTACTTGCAACATATAAATTTTGACGTAAAAATATAGTGTAGGCAATTATTTCTGCCCAGAAATGTGATCTTGACCTTAACCCAATTAGCTCCGACAGTTTTTAATTTTAATGTTCGGTCTTCTGTGTTCTAATGTGATATTGCATTAAATAATGAACAGAAAGAATGCTATGATAGAAATAAATCAAACCTTTTAAAGCAAATTTATTTAAAGTGATGCGATAGCATAAGTTGTTTCTTTTAATTAGTGCAATATTAAACGTATATTTTCCATTTATATATGTATTTGTTATTGATTATTAATAACAAAACACTACAATATAAATAAACAACAATGATTTGTATTACTATATTCAATTCATCCATATTTAGATGATGTTTTAACATACAACTGATTGACATTTTCCTTTCATATGCCAAAATTGTTTTAATGGTTTTATTTTGATGTTCAATAGTACGACTTAAACCACTAATTGATATAAGAACTCACTACCGTCTTGTTACTGTTAATACCAGTTGATATTTATCCATTGCCTTCTTTTCTTTTCCCTTTTCTGCACATACATTTTAAACGTTGCCAAATAAGAATCAGTCTTGTAAAATGATGGATAATTATTTATTTTGATCAGAAGTCTCATAAACACTTGACCTACAAAAACATCAAAATTAGAATAGCCGTGAGCCAGGCACAACATTGAAACGAAGATTCAACAATGTGATTTCCTTTACAAAACGCTTCGAGCATTTAAGTCTGTCGCCTGAAATGAATGGTTATTACAATTTTATGGATACCAACTATTTCCAGCAACATAGAACCGTATTTTTCGTGTCAGTATAAAGACATCCGTTAAAAAGCATTTCATGTTTTGAAATTTTATTGTCGTTTTCGTGAAAATAAAAACAATTTAGACAGAAAGAAGCAATTATATTTCAATATGTATGTACAATGTATATATGAAAAATATTCTATATTTATAGCACTATAATGGCAATCTCGTTAAAATAAGACATTTTATTTAAAATTTATATATATCTTTAAATATATGAGACACATGAAATTTAAACAAATTATCTATGACGTCTGTTGTGTGTAGTTTTCTTACAAAACACTATTTTATGGAACGCTTTTCTAAAATCGTCGTTGAAAATTGTATATAGGATTGGGTTAAGACTAGAGTTGGCGTAGCCTAACCAGATGATAGCCGCTTGGAAATGGGCATCAATTGGGCAATTTTCACAGAAACTTCTTATAGTGTACATGAAAAGAAAAGGCCACCAGCAAAAACAGAAACAAGCCATAATCATCGCCATCCGTTTAGTTGCACGTCGTTCGCGGAGTTCGTATTTATGTTTGACACTCATTGTGCCCGAATTTCCTCGTTTCCATGGAAAAAACGTTGCTTTACTTGTTCTGGGGGAACGCAAATATCTAGTTTCACATTCATGTTCAGAAGATTCATCGTTGAAACTTTTTCTTGACACATGGCTTGGGCTTTTCCCATTCTGCTGACTTTCGTAATTTACTTTTAAATTACAATTCTTCTTTTTTAAAGATGTATCATTTTTGCTTAGATTTGAGGTCTTTGTTTGTGGTGTATTTGAGATATCATTCTCAGTGAAGTCAGTGACCTCGATTTTGAGATGCTGTCTAGAAAGTCCATTTTCATTTTCCTCATTAGCATATGTGTCGGAATTAATATGATTGTTTTGTCGGCCACATTGATTTGCATCAGCAAAGTTAACCGCATGCCCATTGGTTGAAGACTTTGGTTTTGCACCGTTTTCAGCTTTGTTTTGTCCACTAGAATTCAGTGGAGCGGTTTGTGTTGACGCTGCCTTAAGTTCAACTTCCGTTCTTTCATCGCTTTCAGGTTCGTCTAAACCATGAGCCTCGCTTTCAAAGTCACTTTCGGATGGATAAAACGCCCGTTTTCTCATTGGCTGCATTGACCGTGTACGTTTACGAAGAACATTGAAAATTCTGACGTAAAGAAAAACCATCAGTACGGTTGGAATAACAAATGAACCCATTGCGCTATATACTACATATGTCTTGGACATAAACAAAACGCAATGTTGTCTATTTATTTCAAAATCGTATTGATAAAAACCTTGTATCATTTCTCGCCAACCGATAAATGGAGCCACTGAAACAATTATTGAGAACATCCAGACAAATATGATATAAACCAAAGCTCTTGTTGGTGATTTCTTTTCGAGATACCATACTGGATATACCGTTGCTGTGTATCGATCGACAGCTATTGTACATAATCCCCATATCGAAGCAGTGCAGTAAAGCACGTCAATACATAACCATATCGTACACATTATTTCACCAAATATCCAGTATCCAAGAACATCATATGTTGTCGATATTGGCAGCACAGATAAAGCAAGCAACAGGTCACTTACGGCAAGGTTACCAATCAAGCAGTTTGACATAGATCGAAGTTTTTTGAAACGGTACAAGGCAACTAGAACTAACAAATTACCAAATATGGTAATGAAGGTAATAACACTTAAGATAAAAGCTACCACTAAGAAAGTCACTATTGAGTGGTATTTTGTCGAACAGACTGGCGAAGTTAATAACCACATAGAACTATTAGAGCCGCACACGTGTGTCGATAAAGACGAATTCATTGCAATTTCCATGCCATATTCAGACGTTTGTCCCATCTCGTTTAGCGAGACTAAACTATTCATTGTGCTTGATCCCATTTTCGCTACCATGTGGAATTGTTTATCATGAATATTGTTTCAGATTTTATAACGATTCCCTCTGAAAGCGTCTAGTGCGATTTAAATCACATTTATTGTTTCATTTTCTTTCAGCACATTGGGATTTTTATCTCTTATTATTCCTTTGTCGACATATATTGCATTTTATTACAAAAGTTCCAACAATCTGATTGCTACTTTATTGAATAATCGGTTTTAGTTTTGTATCAATAGGGTTTAAATGTTTCACAATATTACCGATTTGTATTACTATTCCCTCGTTTTTAGAACCATTGTATAATTAGATTGTGAATTAATTCAGCAACATCGCTTTCTTCCTTGGCGTAACACTAGGGAATACTTCAATATTTGATGCTTACTAAATAGTGATTATTCTAACACTCGGCTTGAATTCTAGGAAATAATCCTGTGTTGTTTCCAAATAATTAGCAATTCTTATGAAATAGGTCTGTTTTACATTCAAAACGAGATGTGCTAGATTCGTAAGTAGGAATTTCAATATTAATCATCTATCTAAGTTGTTACTTTTCAGTAATCAATTGCTTTAATGTTGTAGTAACTCTGTATGTGGTATTTACAGTCGTCTTTAAGAATATGTCACCTTTCTTTATAGTTATTCTTGTTAAAGTGCGTATTCGTTATGTCTTCAGACCACTGTTTATGGTTTTTGGCCAACTAACTGTCCGCATTTTGCACACATGACTATTTTTTATTTGTCATAGTACTCAGAAATGATAAAAATATTCTAGCAATCTCCTTAAAGCCTCCGAAGTAACACATATGAAGTCGACCTTTTTCAGTTCTGAAAGTAAAACAAAACATGCCGGTTAAATAAATAATCAAGTTCTCGGCATGTCATTGTAGTGTTTTCATTCAGATGCAATATGTAGAATAAAAAATCCCTGTAAACTTATATATTTAAAAGTCTTTTGTTAAGCCAATACAATTACCTTAAAAACAAATATACAAGATTTAAAAATAAAAATAGTTTTAAAAACAAATAATAATACTACATTTTTATACTAATAATAACGTTAATTAAACCGTTATTCGTTTCCGTTGTTAACAATATTAAGTTTCCGATCATGACATTTAATGAGGATGTTTAAGGTTGTTAAGAGTAGATCTATATTATGATCATTATCTGGTAAGCGCTAGCTGAACAAGTATTGTATTGATCAACAAGTACTTCATTTCTTGTCTATCTGTTCAGAAAAACACTCATTTTTGCTTGATATGTTGTAATCATAATTCGGTTGCTTAATGGTACTATTAAAATCAAGAAATTGTCCTTTTTTTTACAAAATTTAAATCAAGAACACTGCATTGCTTAAATTACAAGACAAATTTCTTGACTATTGTTTTAACATTTGGGCAAGGTAACAGTTTCTCAAATAATTTATTGCTGTTTTTTTTAATAATTATTTACTTTTTATTTCTTCAATGCATTTTTCCTTGTTTATAAAGCAACGATTATTATTTACAAATTTATCCTGTTTACCGAAGAATGCTGTCACGAAGATGAAAATGTTGTTTATAAGCTAACGTGTACGAAAAATACCAAAAAATACCAAAAATACAAATTTCCTGTAGCACTGATTTATATAAAAGATTGTATGAGCCATTGATAGAAAAAACATGCATACAACTATTAATTGATTTAAACTTTCAAGCTTGTGTAAGATAATGAACTGCTAGTTAAATACTTTCTTGTTGCGTATATACACCAAGAAACATCTGTGTAAAGAATAACACCATACTTATAATAGATATTGATATATAAACATGTCATAGCAAACTTTTCTGCACTGTTCGTGCGTATCTATGGCATGGGATAATATATCAATGTCTCATTTGGAAAGAGATAAAATTCCTAAAAGAACAGACGACAACAGTTGTATCTTATCCTTTCTTCTCTCCTTAATTAATTTGTCTACAAGGCACATATACTTAAGTGTATTAGTGACATTATATGTTGACGAAGACATTTACGATTAATGTTTTAGACATTATATGGAACGGCTCTTCACTAAATTAGTTTAGTGGAAACTGTATTGTATGTCCGACAGAAAGAGAAAATAACGAACAGAACACATCAATGAATAGCTTAGTATGTTTTTTGTTGTGTTTTCATACTTGTATCTGACATAATGTTATATCTAAATAATTATCTTGTTTTTATTACTCTGTAATATTAAAACTTAATCTACCAGAACATGTCCAAGCTAAACAATATCCACACCAATATAAAACAATCTCAACACAAACAAATTGCTCAATGGAATACCTTTTGTATAATGTTGTGAATATTTAGACTTAAGTGAGAAAAGTGATTCACTTTTAAGAATCCGAAGAAGATAGTCAAATCTTGTTATGCTTAACTGCCTGGAATTTTTATGATATAAGTGTTTTAGCGTGTTCTCCATTAACTCTTGCCTTTTCTTCAGGAAATAAATTTGATCATTTAGTGGGTCAGTTATATCGATTTTTATTCTTTACAGACGTTTAACGCTGGCAGCTGTCGCTGAATGTAAATACTACTTGTTAAGTGCATGCAAAGACACCCTAGCTTTGTTTGATATCTCAACGGAATAAAAAGAACGATTAACCCGGGACAATTACATTTGTCAAAACAATAAAAGCATAATGGAAACAGTATCATGCAATATTATATCTATATATAATCATAAATGTGTTTTATTTTTCATGAAAATGATATAATGCTAGTAATAAGTTATTTATCAGTTATACCTCAATAAGCATTGAAATTATTTAATTTAATAAGTATGAAACCAATGTAATTTGTTAATTCAATATTATGCTTGAGAGATTGAGTATTTTGTTTTTAATTTTTTAACTACAATCTGTAAGTTATATTTGACAATTTCTACTTAAAAAGTTAAATAAATTTAATAGCGTTACTTCACTTGTTATAACACTTCCGAGATAATACTCCACACCCAGTCACTTTATACTGACTCTTGGAAAACATGACGGCATCAAATATCCAAGTAATGCCGAACTACAATAATGGATATTATTGAGTCAAATTTTACAATGGTATTAATGAAACGAACTCGCGATCATACGCATGATACGCGGACGCTGTATCTACCTTTAGATTAATAATATCTGTCATATTTTGCAGTTCTGATCGGAATATCCGTCCCGAGAGGACCCGCTAATTGGGCGTGTTCCCGAGAGACGGATATATAATCCAAACCGCAAACATATGTCAGATATTTGTCTTGTACATTCTACCATATTCCATTATATTATAAATTATTTCCCTAAAACTTACAAAAGAATTTTCTATGACACCCGTAAATATTTTCTTACAACTGCGTTTGAAATTGCAGCTACATTCATAACTATAAAATTAGGTCATCCTAAGCATGCCATTGTATTGCTTGCGACTCATCTAGCACCCCATGCCAAATGAAATTTTCGGCATGGGTAAACTAACGAAAACGCCAGTCTTATATGCAAGAACAATGTGTTTTATTATTAGAAGGAATGTTATATATATCCTACTGAGTTGTTGATGTCCATTTATTTGGATAGAATGGTATTTTGTCCAATAGTGTCGTCATGGTAGTTTCTGACTTCATTGATTGATTAGAAAGTAAGCTCTACAGACATTAACACACTAAGAGGTTGTTAATATGCTTAGGGTGATAAATGCGTACATGTCCTCACATAGATGGATTACTCAAGATGACAAATTATCTCCAGCTTACATACAATTATTTTATTTATCTTATTTAAATGTGGCCAGAATATTATATTAATGCAATTGTGACAAGAAAATTACCCCTTTAATATTCACGGTAGTTGCTATAGAATGTTTGACTGATATAGAAAATGAATCGCAAACGTTTATTAGAGTTCTTAGTAAGTGTTATTCTCTATACAAGGTGACTGACTCTGTTTGTATTATATTCAGTACTTTCTTTTGTATTAAAAAAACCCTTGAAAGGCACTTTTTGTTAAGCAAGTGGCATTTTGTCTTTGAAAATGGTAAAATGTCGATCACACTTTAATTAATGTTTTCTGTGCATTGTTCCAAACTCGTATTTCTTTATTTGCAATATAATATTTTGATTTGAACTTTACAAGAAATATCTGCTTAATTTAGATTATACATTTAAAATGTTTGGATGTATTTCAAAAATATTTTATTTTGGATATTTTAAAGTGGCTTTTAATGGATCTTTAATTTATTTTCTAAGGTTTTGTTGTACGTTTTAAAATATGTGTCTAATACAAAAACATTCTGTTCAGAAGATTCCATTAGTGAAATGAGACAAAATTACACTTATAAGATTTCGCTGCCCGGAATGGACTTGAGTTGAAACTAGGAAAAAGATTAATTAAAGCTTGCGTGAATAACACTTCCATGTTGATGGATTTGTGTAATTTAAAGGCATTCTATATTTCACTGTCATTCCCTAACTTCTTGATGGTGCTTTGCTCCGTTGTAATTCTGCACCAAATTTTTGTTTTTTGTATAATCACTTTTCAAAATGGAAGAGTGTACTCATTTTCAAAGTTTCTCGTTAATGAACGAGATCTTAGTGATTTTTGTTTATTACAATATCTTTATATGTCATTATTTCGGATATGAAAATTCACATTGTCACCGGTTTCGAGCCGGTGGTTATTTTAATATCAGTACGACCTTTAGTAGACCTTTTTTTGTTTTCCTTAACGTGAACTTTTCAACTTCAACATATTTTACTTTTCCATTCTGAACAGGTGTTTTTGTATTACGTTTCAATGTGTGTTTTGCATACTTTAAAGGATTCATTTCATGTTATGAAGCAATAAAAGTTGATTGCTTTTAATGTCCGTAAATTACATGAAACCATTTTGATGGTTGGCGTGTTACTTAAATGCATTTTGATTTCTTCAATTTCTAGAATTTGCTCCAGATTGCATACTACTTAGTTGATATTAAATAGAAATATAATTGTTTAGAATTTGTAGATTTTTCTAGTTAATCCAAATAATGGTACTATTTTATGAGTACATTTTTCGTATGTTATTCCTTAATTATAAATAAGTACGTATTTAATAATGTATTTGTACATTACTAAAATCCACATCGCGTCCTCATTAATTAAGTGCAATTACCAATATTTCGCTCTTTTATTTTTATTTTACTTTTATTATTTCTATGTATTTTTAATTTCCAACAATGTAAATATTTGATCTTGCAACTTTAGAAATTTGCCGTTTCTTAGAGACGACAAATATGGAAGGCGCTTTTTACTTTAAGGTCTCACATTTTAGAACATCAATCATTTCCCAAAGCATATGCAATAAACTATCATTACAATTGTAAGATTATTTTTATTCATTTGGGACAAATTTATCAAAAATATTTCCGCAATAATGGTGTAGAGTAGAACATTTATCTGAGTTAATGTCTTTTCGATGTTAAAGAAGTAATATTGCCTGACAATGAAAGTGCTGAAAACTCAAATGAATGTGCCGTTTCAGACTAACTGTAAAATGTCTCTTTTTCTATAAATGTATAATATTTCTATAAATGTATGACATTGAAGTTGAAGGCAAGTGTGCTAACTTGATTGACATATGGTAAATGCAAAAAATAAAAAATAAATAAAAACAGCAAAAACAATAATTCGATGGTTTATCAATAAATCGATGGTTTATCTAGCTGCATGCATGTAACCGTAATGACAGAAGAGTATATTTGTCCGGTTTATATCAATGTAGAACAGCAAGGAATTAAACGAACGAAAACATATATGAAGTTAAATAATCGGTTATTTTGTTTTATAAAGTAATGCAAATGTTCAAAACATTGAACTGGCCAGTTCCATCAGTATTAGAATCGAATATGGCATGATCCATGCAGGCTGACCAGAAGTTATACTGTCGACTGCATGACATGATATGTAATATTGATATCCCCAAAAAGGTATTAAAAAAGTCTCGAAAATTTTAGTTTAATTAGTTAGTTATTATTGAAAGTTAATATTGTATTTGTGGAAATGTATTCAAATGACCAGGCACATTTGTCAAGGAGCCAATATTAAATGTTAAAGGACAACTGATCATTTTTACAGCTGTTATTATATTCTTTTAAGAAAATTGCTACTTCTGGGAATAGTGAAGTGGCGTAATTGTTTAGTTTGGCATGATTGCTTCTATGGATCAATTTATAATTATATTTGACGATAACATTTTGCTATGTTAGACCGCTTTTATTCAAGTGCCTTTATGTGTCAAGTGTAATAAAAGGAAAAGAGTGTTGTCTTGACATTGTTTGTGTGTTGAAAAAGTGACATATGGTCAAACATATAAAAGTCTGTTAATCCAGAGAAATTTAAAATGAGTTTTCTTTTATTGGAAATAATATGAAGTATTAAAGTCGTTTTCAAACGTATTGATTTGATTGAAGTTATTTTAAATCACAAGTCTTCTACATGTATATTTAACTTTGTTTGTAATAAAGTATATAAAATGTTTGTTATGGAAAATTTATATCGTGACTGTATTTTAAACGTCATAGAGAGAGAGAAAAGGCTGTTTGTAATTAACATTTCTTTTTTGAGACAGGTTGTTGCCATGTCTTAATTAATATTTTCGTTCTACTTCTAAAAATACATTAACATTAATGTTATGCGATCAACATTGGCTAGAATCGGTTATGAAGTACCTTTGCGATTCATATGTAAGTAATTATATAGAAATATGATTACACTCTTAAGTGATTATATTAATGATAACATAGAGAACTCTACCCCAAGGAGTTAACGGTATTACGTGTGAATTATTACGTAGGAATGCCACAGCGGTAATCAATTCTTCGTCTAACAAGTACTTTCATGGAAACGTTGATAGAAGTTTATTCAATTTTTCTAACCAACATAAAATAATTCTTTCATTTCTTTTATTTGATATGATTATCTAATAATGGACAAAATAAATTTATTCAGAAACGGTATTTATTTTATTTGAGTTTTAATTATTCAAACTGGAAGTTTAATGGCGATAGAGTTTTAATGTAGTAATTGAATTAACGAAAAATTAAATTAGAGAAAATAAATACTGTAACGTTGAATTTCATTAAAACTTTGCATGATTTGACAAAAAAATATAACAAAACATTTTAAGTGAAAAATTGGTTACTGGCCTCTTTTTCAGTTATCTGCCCTTGAATAAGTAATATTTTTAAAGATCATTTTAAGACACTTAAAGTTATAAAAGAAAACTATTATTACCTTTTATATAATATTCTAAAATAATACAATATGGAAAGAATGGATTCAAACGGCAGAATCGAAAAATTACAATGATTGTACTAGTTCATTGACGGTAGTCTTAATGTAAATGTATTAAAACTCGTTTTACTTTTTATCAACAAAACCTTTAATAACCTTACTCTAATCTGCATATTTACAGCAAAATTGGTGGTATATGATTTACTTATTCAAGAAAATGTAGAAATAAATGTGTAATCGGAGATGTATGTAATTGAGGGGTGTTAAAAGAATACCGTTCAAAGTAGGTTCTTGGCGGCCTCTATTTCAATGTAAGTATACCTATTTGATAAAGGTTAGATTAATTTCACACCTCTTGCGATGCTCTTACCAGTCAGAAAAGATTAGTTATTTACCACAAAACTAGTGATCCGTGTTGATTAGAGACATACTTATGTAATTGAGACATAACTTGAGATGACAGATTGCTGAAGTTGATGGGAATTCAGTATTTTCTAATTAAGTCAGAGATGATGAGATGACAAGATCAGCAAAATGTCTTGAGCAGAAAAGAATCTAGATTTTTATTCATAGATAACATTATCATTACGAAACAAGGTACACAGAATGAGACGAATATTAGATATTTGAGTTTTTATTAGTGTAAAAAGCAATTACTACAATATGAAACAAAGTATATGGGAGGAGGGAAATATTAGATATTTGAGTTATTGATAGTTTTAAAGCAATTACAGTTAAGCATGTTACTATGTCTAATGCTATATTAATTAATGCAAGCAAATGATACCAGATACATATTATAATTACCCATTTCACTCAACTATATCTTTATGTAAATTATGCGAGGTTAGGATATCAAAAAGTAATGTCCTTAACTTCTAATGCTAAAATTTCATATTTGAACTTTTAATTTTTAAGTTGTTTTTTTAATGATTTTTATATTATTTATTCATCTTAATATGTTTTTCTCGGTATTTTAATGAATAATTTAATTTTTAATTTACTTTATTATTATAGTAAACATAAATATGCGAGGTTGCTTATTTGATATGATTAATGTTTTTAGGTTACCACATTTGTAAATAAAACAATGGTAGTGTAAGCTTTAAAATTCGAAAACAAATACAATTATTTAGTTTTGTTTTAATTTGACTTGGCAATTATTTATAATTAATGACTGATTTATTTAATTAACAGTTAAATCTTTTCTAGTCGTCACAGTGTTTAAATATCCGGCATTTATTTAGATATTTTTGATTTTTACAAATTTATTTTGTAATTATATTTTACCTTGTAAATTATATGACAAAACAACATTAATTGTTTAAATATTTTTATGAAAATATTTGTCAATACTTATTGTTCGAATGTTAAGCTATTATATAATATCATCGCCAATTTGTTACCTTTTTATCACTTTGTTATCCTTTATCAAACAATCCAGTAAGCAAAAGTTTCTAAAGTTCCTGCATGCCGAATAACAAAATGAATAAGTCCACTTTTGAATCTTTCGTTGCAAAACGCAATTAACGTTTCATGCCTTTAGAATATGCTAAAGATTTCCCAAGAAACAGCAATGACGCAATTCAATCTATCTTATACTATCTGACTGTCATCTGTGAATTTGTATTTTCAGAAGAAAACAAAAACAATGTATTATTAAACGTCTTTCCTGATCAATTATATTGTAAGCTTCTATTCTATGTCAGAGTTATTTTCACTCGCTCTCTCTTCAATATGCTTTTAAAGCAAACGAACGCCAATAACGCCGCGCGTGCTATGAATCGTCTGCGAACGCGCCGATCGCTCTGTTATTTACAATATCGGCCCATGACTACCATGACAGATTTCAAACTCCGCTTCTGATATATCGAGGGATATTGGTACAGCAAGGAATTTATTTCAATGAAATTATATACTCATATTTAGGATGAGAGACTTAATTAATGATGTACTAAGATTAATTAGCCAATTTAAAACAGATAAATGTATGTACATGTATGTTAACACGGAAAGTAATATAGGTATATCGTGGTGGTGGTTTTTAAAATTTTGTTCCGGATTTCAAACAAAGTTTGATCAATCCGGCTTTGATTAAAGACATTTTTAAGTTCTATTTAATTATTATGAAGCGTAGGTTGAATGGTCAATTTCGCATTATCGCTTACTTTTTTCTGGTGGTTAATATTAAATTTTTCTGTTCTACTCGTATATTTGTATATTTACTGTCCTGTTTGACTAGTAAAATAATTTTCTGCATCTTAGTTTATCAATATGTCAATTTACCAATTTGAAAATCGAATCGTGGTTGTTAAAGACATGAGCAATTCTACACTTCCGTCCCTTCCTTCTGTACATTGAACTGAGGTATTTATTTGTTGCAATGATTTTTTTCGTTTGAATACCTATTTGTGATTTCAGTAAGTAATATTTAGATGAGAGTGCAATTAAGTCAATTAAATATTCTTTCTTATATGTCATTTCAATAATTTATCAATGGGTTATTAGCGTAAAACTGGTAAGGGCTTATTCTAATGTTGCATCGACGTGTTGACCAACCCATTTTCTTTTTGTTATATTCTTATTATTTGTATTACATTTTATATGCATGTTCTACAATGGAATACTTTTAAACTAATGTTAAAATTGATTTTAAGCTGATACTAAGGGGCGGCCTTGGTCGCCAAGCACTGTTTATATATTTGTAGGAATTAAGTGTAATTTGCCTATACGTAAGCGACAATTTTGTTTGTAATATTATCTTTTTTGATGAAAAAGCAATAACATTTCATTCATTCATTCATTTATTTATTTATTATAACAATAATAACAATACCACTGTGTATATCCTGTAACGCAAGATTGTGCAAATAACGCAGGAATTGTGCAAAAGTAACGCAGAATTGTGCAATTTAAAACGAGCACCGCGATATGAAAAGGGTCCAATATTTTTTATTGTACATCAAATTGGAAGAAATGAATTAGCGCATACGGTTGCTGAGACATTTCACTTTAAACCTCATCAAAAATATTTCCATGGAAATGCTTATTTATCAAGATCATTCGTAAAAATGACGACCTGTCTAGTGTATTGATGGCGATTTTTAGTTTCGTTGATATCTTAGGACACAATAACGTACATAGTACGTACTTTATGATTTTTTTATATTCGGTGTACCTGAGAAATTTTCAATTCTACTCGTGTCATATTACACTTAATTTAGCAGATACAGCGTAATTGAGGCCATTTTTACCAGGTAACGCCGAATTCGTTAGCGAAGCACTGAAGCAATGGTGGTTATCTCATTTTACGTAGCTAAATTTACCAGTTTCGCGAAACTTGTAGTTTGACAAATATTTGAGGTATAAAAAATATGAAAAAATAATGTTTTTAATGTGTTAAATATATATATTTATTTGACGAAACACAAAAGTCACCGTCAAAAACGGTAATCAGGTTGTCTTTTCTCACGAATGTTCAGTAATGCTGGTTAAAGAATAATGTCGAAGCAGCCGTATGCGCTAATTTATTTCTTTAAATTTTATTTAGAATAAAATATTATGGTTCGTTTACTTACTGTGTTATTCGTTTTGCCAATAGCGTTGCACTGATTCGGCGTTACTTTTACGTTATTTGCACACTCCTGAATATATGTTACTGGATATGCACGGTGAATTCTATATAAATTTCCATGTTTATCTTCAAAATCTTTGATCCAAAAAATATTGAACTTGTATTTCAGAACATTTTTACTACATGGAATATTTGATGACTTTCTGTTAATTTGTTTCGTAGTTTGATATTCAGATATCTATCTCTACTGTTCTCCAAAGGTTCCTGTCATACCGAATAAATAAATGACAAACTACTTTACTTTTTTATGCTTTACAATTTATTTATTTCAAATAAATAATTGAAAACTGGATGCAAATGTCGTAGAGTGCGGCAGTAATTTATTTATAATGAATGCTTAACATACTTAATAACTCGTGAAATCAAGCCCAGACTAATTCGTCTTTTAATTAAAACGTCGATGTTAAATGAAACGGGCGCTAAATTAGCTCATTGTTTATTAATACTAATTGTTAAGTACATCTGACATGCCTAACACTTTTCAATTTTCATATCTTAATTGCCAAAAGTCTTAGCGCTTTTTGCGATGTAGAAAGGACCACAGAAGTGTTTACTTAATATAAACCGTTTGACGACTTTCCAATTTTTTGGACATGTTTAAATGTTTAATTCTGCTTAAGCCGGTGCTAGGGAGCGTTAATGGTAGCTTTCATTTTCAGTACCCCCCATGAACGGGCTGGACCCGAACCTTCAACATTTTCAATTTTGTTGTTTTGGACACTCTTTATGGATTCTGTTTTTCTTTTCTTTTTTACACTATGAAATAAAATGTATTTAATGTTCCCTATCTAAAACATTTTTTTTCTGTTTAGATAGATATTTATTATATTTCCATTTTATCTTTTAGAAAATAGATACTTTTTGAATATTTGATTTCAATTTAGAAATTAGTTATTTTTTCATTTAATTTGATGAAATAATAGTTCATATCGGTTACATATTGAAGGCTATTCAAGAAATAAATGAAGTTGTTATATATTTATTGTTACAAAATCACGCAATAGTTTGTATGGAATATATATACATGAAATCTTGCTCTAAGCTTTTTAATATATGATTAACCAATATATATGATGTTCATAAAAAATATAGTATATTTTAAATTCCATTGCAAACTTTGTACATTTAGTCAAAATTAAACACACATAATTGAAATTAAGAAAATCTCTTGGTATCTGTAAACGACAATCAGCATTTACAAAGACTTAAGTGAACAGTGAGTTTAATTTCAATTATCTGAAATTACAGCAACTTTATATAGCAATTATAATAGTAAATGCTCATGGATCATGATGTATGATGTCATTAAGTAGACATCAGTGTGATTTATTGCGTCAATTATTACTGATATGTTTCAGGGAAATGAATAAAATATATCATAAATTTCTCATTTTAATTATCATCCCAGTAACTGTTTGAATCAGTAAAAATAATTAGATAAAATATTTATTATGCTTTTTATAATAGTTATATTCCAATAAAAGACTCAATGCATAGCTGATATCAACATGTGTTTTAGATGATGAAATAAAATAATAAATACTTAGATATTTATATTCTGAGCCGCATAATACTGATATTAATTGCGTCAGTAAGCGTACGTCATCATTCTATTAATCTTCAACCTACTAGCCTTCAAGTTATAAGCCTTTGTCCCCATTATAGAGCCAGATCATTTAAGTTTGACATTCTTAAAATTTATAGTAGATAGTTAAAAAAAAGAGCTGTGCAAGACCGTTTGGGACATTTAAACGTTATGAATTCCAGATTTCATCTTCGTAAATTCACAATTTTAATTTCGTTAATTCACGTTTACTACATACGGAATTCACGAATTCCAACTTCATGAATTCAATGAATCTCACGATTTCATCTTAACGAATTCAAGATTTCATCTGCAAAAAGTTGAAATGATGAAGTTCAAAACGTAAATTCATGAAATTGAACTCGTTAAGTTGAAATCGTGAATTCATAAAGTTTAAATCATGAATCCTGTATATTGAAATCGTGAACACATGAAGTTGAAATTGTGAATTCATGAATTGACCACGAGAGCTCAAAAGTTGAAATGTCACCTTCGTTCTGTCTTACAATATTATTAGAGTGCTGTGTTCATACATTTATGACAGCATGTTGTTATCCAACATTATTACCCCTTACATTTTTGTAATGTTAATTTCCCATAGGCCACTAAGAGTTATTCTGACTGTTAAGCAAGTGTACCACCTTACTGAGAAATTTATACTGTTACAGGGTAACAGTGCTTTTTAACAGTATACAAATCTGGTCACGTGTTTTCCCCTAAAAAGTAAGTATTATAAATTAAAGTATTTGTTTGGGGGAATAAAATAAATAACAAATGGGTTTGTGAGTAACAATTAAAATATCATTCCGGGGAAAATACTGATACCCAAGGCTGTTTCCTTGGGATGATATTTTTACTGTTACCCATGCCACAAACCCATGTGTTATTTATATATTACCATTTTTAAACACAAGCTACTTGTTTTTTTGACAGCTTTTCAGTACAATTAAAAGAGTTGATGTTTCATTCCAATATTTTACTATTTAACAATTCTAGTGAGAGTTTCCAATCTATTTGTGTTGAAATGCTTTGCCTCTAAAATAGCAGTTAGTGATAACTACTTACATGCTTTCTTTTTATATCAATGGAGCAGGAAAATATTGCCAAAACCAGCAAATTCTTATATATTTTAATATCTTTGTTGCGATACACTGATTAGTTTTTGATGATATAACCCATGCTATAAAATAGAAAAAAAGAGAAAAATGATACTGTGAACCAATTGAAATATAATAAGGCAAATGTTTATATCTTACTGAAGAGGTGCAATGATATAAAACTATTATATCAACCTTTTATGATTAATTAATTGTTATTTACTTAATGAGAAACTCCATCATTGTTTGATTTATTGCTTTAATTATTGCTAAATATATTAGTGGAAAATAATAGAAATCTTTTATCAATTTGCCACTTTAATGGCCATGATTGTTGTGTAATTTATAACTTCGGAGGTAATATTTTTTAAGAGTCATTAAATAGTGGTGGTCCTGTTTTGGGGATGTGTTTGTTGAATGCCACTCTTCGTTGTTGATCTTGGTTTTATATTTTATACAATTAAATATAATCGTATATTTTTAAATTACG